CAAATCCGGCACATTATTCATTAAAAACGAAAAGTGACATTTGTTGAAATTAATATTTTTATAATTTCCTCAAGAAATTGTAAATGTTGTAATTTAACCTTTCCATTACAATACAATTTCAACACAATACTGGCAAATATTTCAACAATGCGGTAAATATCGCTGTTTTATTAGCATAAAAATTTTTATTTCACTAACCATTAGATTATTTATAAGTGGACAATTTAAATAAAGGAAGTTTTCTACATCATAACTGATCTTTTGCTGATATATAAAGTAATATGAAAATATCAATGACCGTGCTAATATCTCACCTAACATTTTCCACGATGATATAATTGTATGACCTCTGTGAAATTTAATTTAAAATTTAATTTAAAGATTCGTGGCTGAATCTAAACGTTTACTCGTGTTTTTTTTTTTTGCTTTTTTTTCTATGAATATTTCAAATCATTCAGGCATTAGAAGAGATTTTACATTTTTTGCTGGATGAATTGAAATTTGAAAAGAATAGACTTAACTGTTTTGAAATATCGTAAAAATTCTGAATATGCTACAAACACTAAGTTGATAGAAAAAGATGTAGTTTGATTACTATTTTCAATTTTATTATCTGAAATAACTTATTAATCAATAGATGAAATATTATCACATATACTGTGTTAATATAACAACACGGAAATCAGTAACCTTTTTTGTACTTGATATGATAGGAATAAAATCTATAGAATCTAAAATGCAAACGAGGAGAAAAAAGAAATGATAATGAAGATTGAAAAATAATTCGGATTAGAATAACTAGGAAAAACATGCAATGCATATATGCAAATTCCAAAATTATTTCTCAGTGATTTAATGATTTTGAACTATGCAAATTATTTCACTAAAACAAATAGCGAGATTTTTGAATGAGAGTTGAAAAGACAAAAAAATGATATTTTATGAAATATATTTTTAGAAAAAGAACTGACTAAATATTTCAATATCATTTCAAATCTAATTAAAAAAATAGATGGAAGTGGTTACTGAAATTAGAAATGTTAAATGCTCATTTAATATTTCACCGATTGCTAATTTTAGATTTAATTAATGAAAATTTGCTTTAATTTATTATAGTTTATCGTTGAATGAATACAGCAGCAATGTACCGTCAGTGTAATACTTTTTCCGATACAAACATCATTTACATTTCTTTTCATTATATTATAATGCAAACATATATATATATATCATAGCCAAATATGCAAAAAAAAATTTGAAATTTAAATATGACATAACACGAACTTTTCAGGAATGTATTTAGTCAAATAGATAGCAATAAATCCGTTCTTATGAATAATAAAATTCCCTGAATTTAAATTTATTTCCATTTAATTTCATCTGATCCACTCAAATTTCAGAAACGTTTTCATGTATTTAGTTGCTTTTATTTTGTATCAAATCCATTGATTTAATATAAAATAAAAGCAACTAAAGAAAAAAATGATTTTTAAAATCTGTCCTTAATTCCATGTGGCGAAAGCAATGGAATAGCCTAAATAACTTTACTTCATTTCTACCAATTTCATTTTTAGCCATAAGTCTCACATTTATCATTTTGAATACGAAAATAATCATTCATTATTAAGTGACATCTGACATTTTCTAATAGAGAAGGATATATCCAAAATTATTTGTGGTATTCAATTAATTAAATTGTAAATTGCCATCTTACTTAATTAACGCATTGAAGTAAACATTAATGTAAACAGAGTATTAAAAAGAAAGTGATGATATGGCCGGTTGATTTCATGTTGCTATGTTATAACAAACGATAAAAATCATGATAGCATGCGATATAATGAGTAGCCAACAAAATACCTGCAATTATTTGATTATAGTTTTCATTAAATTTTTTAAATTAGAACAGAAAAAGAATTTAAAATGTTGAAAAAAGTTAATACTTCCTAGAAATTAGCTATTAATAAAGATGATTTTATTTTTGACTGCGATGTTCCATTTAATTTGCATAACCAAAGAAAGCTTTTTCAGAAAAGCTTTTCAAAAAAAGTTTGAAAAAGCTTCTCATCATGAAAGTGCGTTTTATAATAACATCTCATTTTTAAATTTATATGAAATTTTTCATAAATAATTGCTGAAAATATCAAGACTTAATTAACATTATTTAATTAGTCTCATGAAATTGCTAAGCATTTATAGATGATTATTAATAAATATAATCGTAGCTATCAATCAATAATAAATTTATAATTGGAAAGATAATTTACAGCTGCGATAATAAAACGTGGATGAAGCATACTGTCATCGGTATATGCTGCTAATTTACTATTCCAAGTTTCTAAAGCAGCAGCAATAATTGCCAATAATGTGCAAAATCCATAAACAATCAATAACTGAAAAAAAAATGAAAGGAAAAAATTAATAGCTTCATTTTTCATTCATCATTATTTACTGATGAATTTACCAATTACGATTGAAAACTAAGCTATTTTTAAGCTATATTTGTAGAATGAATGACTTTAAAAAAAAAAAAGGAACAATTAAAAATTAATAGTGAATTGACTTCATTTTTCATTCATTATTATTTTATTGATGAATTTATGAATTAAAATTGAAAAAATAAGCTGTTTTCTTTACCTTTAATTTACGATATTCTTGGAATACATTTATGCCATTTAATTGCATAAGTGAACTAATTAAATTAACAATCCAAATGAGACATAAACATGCAATAACAATTGTTTGCCATCCATAACCGTTGTAGCCAAGTTGAATGTATATGTCACCTTTACTCCAAATAAATGAGCTAACGAAGAGAGCGATGAATGAAAAAATCTAAATTCATCTTTAATTTAATCAATTTTGAATTTTATTTATCGATGCAACATTTCAATTTCTTGGTTTTAATTTTGTCCAAATATTTTTATTACCAATTACTGCAATTGATTAGGTAGCAGCAATATGATAGGGATAATATATATGATTGGCAGGAAATATTGATATTATTATGAAAGTAGAACATCATCAGTGATATTAATACTGCGGGAGAGGTTAATTAATTTTTAGGCACAAATTATTTTATTCAAATTTAATATGTATGTAGGATTAGTTTCCATTTATTTTATCTTATAATACTATCACTGCTAAACTATGTCAAAGTGTACAAATTAAAAATTTTAAACAAGAAATTATAAATCATCAAAAAAAAAAGGAAAAAAAAAAGAAGGAAAAGATGGATACCAACTGTGCGATAGTTACAATTGTGTAACTTTTCTTGATAATATTTCCATACATTTTATATTATTTACAAAATGCTGCTATCATATCTATAAAGAATATCACGATAAAAATAACTATTTCACAATAATATTCAGCAGAGTTGTAATAGAGATTACGATAATGAAATATTGTAGTACGTTTACTAACACTAATTATATCTTTCTTGCTGCATTATTTTTTTGTACCAAAATTAAAAATACCATATTTAATACAACAATAAATATTTGTTAAATTAAAAGAAAAAAACTGATTTCTTTAGCAACTATGAAATAATAAGGAAAAATTTAAACAAAATATTGAAAAGATTATTAGCACTTTTTTTTCCATCTCGAAAATGGTAGAAAGAGTAGAAGAATTAGATGATACATATGTCAATTTGAAATGCTTTTCAGCATACAACACGAAAGTTTTGGTACACAGTGATGTTTGAACAGTGTGACACACTTTCATAACAAAATGATTTATACTTCAAATAAACGCACACAAAAGGGATCATTTCACATGATCGTATTATTTCTCTTCCAATCTGTCATATCATTTCATCCTTTTTCCGCTTCATGTTATTCTCTAAAGTGATTTCGAGAATGCACAGCGGCTAGTCTTTGATGCTTTTCACTCATCAAGCATTTTGATGCCAACTTTTCAAATTATATGCTAACGATGAACTCCGAAAACCTGATAATGATTAGTCACTTCATTTCTCTTTCATTTTTCATACTTCATCCATTTGTTTTTCATTCAAACTCTGAAGTTAAAGAAAAAATTAAGTGAAAAAGGAAAAATTCGAAATAGAATAGAAGTTTTTTTTTTTGTTAATAAATGATCACTTTAATATGATAACCCAATTGGAACAAAAAAAAAAAAATTGTAAAACTCGAATTTCGAAATTAATGCGTAAATAATTGAATAATGCCTAAATATAATAAAAATCAAAATCTTTGATGCTTTTTATGACGGAAGAAAATATTGGATAAATATTTGTTCGTAAAATGTTACCGATGCAAACGTCGTCGTTCTGCATTGTGCTTCTCAAATGACAAAAATGACAAAATATACTTCACTTCTGTTAATTCATACTGATATTGCCTACTGTTGGCAGTCTTCGTGAATGGAACAAATTATGAATGTTTTGCCCTTATCGATTTTTAACACTGATAAATGTTTGAATGGACTTATAACACTGATAAAAACTAATAATGATAGTGAAAAAAAAGGAAGAAAAAAAAACGATACCGATCAATATTGGCATTTTCAAAACTTTTAATGTAACTGATATACACTTAGTTTGATATAAATTTGATGTATACTGAATTTCTTAGATATTCATCGCTGTAATTGTTATCAATTGACTTCACATGCAATATTGAAGTTGCAATTTATAATGGAAAAAGTTTCGAATTCATATATTTTGAAATCGCATAATTTACATAAAATTATCATCACAGTCTTTTAAATTTTAAATCGTAAGCATAATCAGTGTATGCGTTAATTAAAAACAGTGTGAATCGGTTGGTTCTTGCTTTTGGGAAGTTTTCGGATTGCAAACGTTGCAGTGCACACGCTAAATTTTAATAAGATGGAAATAAAATAAAAGAATTCAATATTTTATGATTATTAAATTTTCATTCTATCAAAATTAATGATATTCTTGATTATTGTTATTTTTTTGACCGAAAATATTTTATCAATTAAACAAAATGAAAAATAGAAATTGGTAGGTAATGTTGGATATTCTATCAGATGATATTATTTGGCGAGTATTTCGATATCTCGATGTAAAAAGTAGAATTCGATTTGCTGCTGTCAATACTACCTTTTATGGGTTACTCAATAAGGTGTTTCAATCTTATAGCATTCACTTCATTATTGTTGATAAAATAAACAAAAAATTGCTTCATTTATTTTCCTTGAATTTTTTAAACTTTTTACATTCCCATAGCTAATTTTATAGTATATGAATTTTCTGTTAATTTCAAGTAACTAAAAGAATTTATTGATTTGATATTTTTTCATTCCCACAACAATTATATCAATACAAATACATAAAAGCTCGTCATGAAAAGAATGATACGATGAGAGAAGAATAAAGTAGCAATTATTAGAACATAATTGACTTGAAAATCTCACATTACTTAAGTTGCTGAAAAAGTGAAAAAAAAACGGTTTAAGGTAGTTGAAAAATAAGGAAGAGAGGTTAATTGTTGAATATATATGCTAAAAAAAATTGCAAATTGAAGAGCAAATGTTAAAGGTTAAAAGAAGATGATTAAAATTTTAGTGGGAAGATGTATTGTGTTGTTCGATTCATGCCAATGGCATCACTTTATCCGGCGAAGGTTTTATAATAGAAGTGGAACATCAACATTCAGTTAATCATTATGTTACACTAAAAAAAAAGGGATAAAATCAGAAATTCAGAACTGAAATGAACTGAATCAAAGATGGACGATCTTAATCAGAAATCAAAGATTAAAATCAGAAATTTATGGAAATAGAAAAAGAGTAAAGTGGAAGTTGAAAAGTTCACTTTCTCATTAATTTCAAACTGCTGTGTAATTTCATCCCATTTCATGAGAGTGGAATGCTGAAAGGGGTTCATTTCGAAAACAAGCAAGTAAAGGTTACATGAAGAATTCGAAAATCGGATTAAAATTGTCTTTACAGAAATTACTAATAGCACAAATCCTGAAACGTTGTCCATTGATCCGGAAATTAGCAATTCATAATGAACGTGTCATGTGTAATACAAATAGCAGTGTACTGGATGATTTGGTGAATGTCGATGAACTTCACATGTCCAGTAACTTTTTCACTGAGTAAGTAACTTGTCTGACCAATGGATGGACAACAACATTATGAAACTATAGGAGATTATCAAAAGATGTTTTAATCGATTAAAATTTTGATCCCAATCATTCCTAATCAAATTATATAACATGAACATTTACAAACAGCGATTTTCAATGATACTGATAATCATCAAATATTTTCAATTAATCACTGCGCAACACAATATTGCAATTGAAATCAAATTGAACTCTGATGATAAAATGAGAAAAGACATTAAATATAATTATTTTAAATTTCATTAACATATTTTGAATAACTTCTGTACGAAAAGATTTTTTTTTCCTTAAAGATATTATAGGTAAATAGACGTTTTTACAAAACAGAATACGATCATCATGAAAGAGCAAAGATTAAACAGGAAAAGATTTTTTTTTAATGAAAGAAATATTTAGGTGTCAATATGATCCATTAATTAAATCACTATTTTCATTCTCAAAATTGCACCTCCTTCATATACAACAACGATATAATGAAGAGAAATGCCATCGAAATATCATTCGTGAACAACACGTGGAACAGCTTACTTCAACATCGCTTAGTAATATCAAACTACAGGTGATAAAACTGATCAATTTGAACCTACATGTGTAAATAGTTTGATACAAAAAAATTTGGTTAAAATAGAATTTACTTAAATCGTTTATTTTATTCACATATGGACGAAAACAAATAAAAAATAAAATATTGAATGAATTTTATTGTCTCAGATAATAAATAACTTACAGGGTGTTGTAATAACAGGATCAGTGTTGAAGTTATTTTGTTTGAAATATCGGAAAACATTAGAAAAGTTATGCTTGTTAGGTGCTCTCGTACCATCTCAGGATACATTTACTTGCTTTCAAGCTATAAGTAAGTTTTGATCAATATTATTGCAAAAAAAGTATTTTTCTCTCATTATTTTACTCTAGCAACATTTAGTATTATTTAATTTCAATCGTACTTGTAGTATTTTTGCAGACAGCTTGGATCGTTTAATTTGTCTAACATTGGCTCCATCGCTGTATTCGATTAGTACCACAAATGAGGCATTTTTTAAAAGTTATCCCACACTGAAGAGTTCTAAAATGTTAAAATTAGTAGCAGTTTATGTGTCAAGACCAGATGTATCACAGCTAAAATTATTGCTTCAACAAATACTTCCATCTGATGTTGAGCAATTAATGCTTTACGATGAAAGCTATCGATCAGCTTATCAAATTGATGATGAATTGAAAGAAATGAAATGCAAGGTTCTAATAATTTCAGCAATATAATTACTCGAATTGAATATTAAAGAAAATTCAAAATGAAAGGATCAGTTAAAGAATAAAACTCTTTCGCTAAATTCCAATCAAATGAGAATAGCAATTCTAAAATACAAAAATTAAAAATGAACTGATCATTGATTTGACTCTGAAATAGTTTTGCTTTGTTAGCATCAAGCTGTTTTAACTTTACTATTTTTTTTTTTTAATCTTATGCATAATTCAGAAAATATTTATTCAGATTCAATTTTGTCGTGATGATAATATAATCATTGACAGCTATTGGATGAATGGTAAAAGTGAATTAATAACACACACATTATGGAAACCACCTTACAAAACCAATACTTTCTTGCCAGCAATGGTTTTGCTTTTCCATATTGAAATTTTAAAAAGATGAAATTTTTTCTGTACCTTGATGATTACTTTAACTAATCTTAACACTGTCAGCGTTACTACGATATGTCTCCTACTTGAAGAAATAAACCATATAAAATGCAATAATTGTTTGTTATGAGAAGAAGCGCAAACTGTAAACATAAGCGTAAACATAAGTGAACATAGGCGTAAACACAGACGTAAACACAGGCGTAAACATAGGCGTAAACATAAGCGGAGAATGATCTGATATAAAGTATTACTTGCGCATATTTAGCTGCCAGAATGGTATTGTGTATTGAGTGAACTTATGGAAACAGCAGTGATCAGCGAATACTCATGCAGCAATTCATCAAGAGTCAATGCCACTCGGAACATGTCGCAACTTGACGAATTCACTTGTACGGATCATTCCGCATCATGTAAGCTTTAATTCTAGTAAAGTTCATAGTTGAAATTAGCAACGGGAAGAGAAAAAAATGCATGAGAAATGTGAATATTGATGAATTTTTTCTTTTAAAACTGACCGTACTTTACACCTATGTCGAAATAGTGCAAATGAATTCCGCCGGAATATTTATTCATTTTGAAACTTTATACAATATGAAAGAAAAATTTACTAGAGATTGTTGATTTCCATGAAATAGATTACACATATTGATAAGCTGGCAAACCGTGTCAGTAATCGATTTCGAACGACCGGAAAATTGATGAAGCGTTTTTTGCATGAAAACTTTCATTCATTAATTGCAGATAATAATGAAGATGAAAGAGCTTTATGCTCACTGCAAAATAAAACATTGCAAGGTATGTTTGAAATTGCACTCGAACATTTCGATTTCATGGGTAAAATGATAATTCACAACAGAATGGTAAACGATTTCTTTCAGATATAAGTGGATGAATTTAAAAATTTCGAATTTTTGAAAGAGAAGATAACTGTTCTGTGACGATAACTTACACTATGAGTGCACAGTAATATCTTTTCCAAGAAAAAAAAATGAAACATACAAATATTAAAAATTGTCTTGATCATTTTCTAATCCACAAAACATTTAAAATCGAATGATTGGAACCGTGAACGATCATTCAAAAAATTAAAATTAGTAATAAGACAAATTTCCGCTTTGCAAAAAATTTCTAAATTCTCATCATTGAATATTCAATAGAACTTTCATAATCAGAATTACCAACCTCAATGCTTGTGTATTTAAGTAGATTTTTTTTAAAAGTTATATTTCAAGTATATGTGCTTAAAAAAATTATTCTAGGGAGGCAGTAACAAAGAGTCTTGCAAAAAAGCAACAGTAATCTCTATTATGTTCAATTTATTTAATTGATTTTTCAATATTTCTGTCACTAACTGATCAAACTAGCTATTCCATCATGACCTGTGACCCATTACCCTCCCTCTACCATATCCACAACAGTGCATCTCTATTTAATTAGTATTATTACTATTTCATTAGCGTTATTACATTCTGTTTGGATCTCAGAACGATTGATTGTGATCAGTAATTATTTGGTATGGGAGTGTATGGAATTGTTAGAGAAAGTGAGGGTGGTGGTTGGCATACCTAAATGACGGGATGTACCGCGGTGAAGCAGGACAGACTGGGGTGAAGCGGGATGGACCGGAATGAAGCGGAATGGCGGAGAGAGAGCTGCATGTTACAGCGCTGGACTGTTTCTGATTTATCATGAGTTTTTATATGCTGTGAAGTGATTTGTAGACTTTTACTTGTTGCTTTAGTGAATGTTTATTATATAGTCGTTTGATCACTTTATCTTCATTCTGGATGTCCCGGTCATAATTTGTTGAATAATGTATAATTATAAATCTCAATTTTGTAAAGAAGAAGAAGGAGAAAGTCGGAATACAAAAAGTGTTTCTCCATTAATCACGGAATTGAGCTTCTTTTTCACATTTTTTCGGTAATTTCGCCGATATCTATGTCTTATGCATGTAGATTGATTTGGGAACTAGCATCAGTATTATAAGTTGTAAAGAAAGAATGAACGAGGAGGAGATAAAGTTTAATTCGTAAATCATATAGAATCATTATGTATCCGGAATTGCGGCTAATATTTGTTTATGGATGCGGTTCTGCATATTTTGAGGTGCTTTCATTATCACGATCGTCACTATAGGCATAACCATTAATTTAGAAATAGCCATTTTTATATCGCATTTTAATTAGCCACTTCATTATGTTCGCACAAAAGAGCAGAAAAAGTGAGGGAATTGATTGTTAGCACCTAATTGTATGTGAAACTTTCATTAAATATTTTGAAAATACGTCGCTCGGAAAACTGAAGAAGAATATACCGAACTGATAATTCATCGTGATGAATCTGGGAGAGTTCTACTCTGATTTATAGCTGTGATTTTTGCTTTCACTATAATGATTCACTGTAGATTCATTGTCTATTTTTCGCTTCACAATACTGTAATCTGCTCCATTATCTAATACAAAGCTTTTGTTGCAGCACTCTCAGTCATGGTTGTTACGCAATCTGTGCAGGTATTCGGGAGGAAGAAAACCGCTACTGCTGTTGCTTATTGTAAAAAAGGACGTGGTCTTATCAAGGTGTTCCCTTTGTTTGCATCATATTCTGCTAATCTCTTCGAATTGGATAATTTTTTGTTTTATTTAGCTGAAAAGACTTTTATAACTTCTTCGACTTGAAGATTTTTTTCATCGTTTTCTGATCAGCTGGTGTTTTAGGTAAATGGTCGTCCTCTGGAACATATACAGCCAGAAATTTTGCGCATCAAACTTCAGGTATATTCTTTAACTTGGTGAAAATTCTTGGTTCTCTCGATAGTTTGCTTACAGTATTCGAACTGTTAGAAACTGAGAACTTAGTTTTTAATTTTTTTATCATCTTGTTGCTTCTACATTCCTTATTTGTAATTTATTTATTCATCAAGAATTTCACTAGTGGTTTGATGTTTCAAAAATTTTTTCTTTGCAGGAGCCACTATTAATATTGGGCAAGGAACGTTATCAAGATGTAGATATAAGAGTGAGAGTAAGTGGCGGTGGACATGTTGCTCAGGTTATTTTCGTTTGATTTTTCGGATATGGAAAAGAGTAGATTTGTGAGTATCGATCGGTGTGTTATATTGAACTTGGCTAATTTTTGTAGATTCAAGATCACACAGATATGTTCATCTTAGTAACGCATGTGACATCAATTCACAAAAGTACACAAGTAGACTTCCTAAATTGCACCCAGTATTAACGCAGTTTTTTTTTGGATCTATTATTTCCTTCATAGTTTTTTGCTTTTTTGGAACAATCTTTCTTACAAGTAATATCATTACAATTTTCATGCCATACTGCTGAATAAATGCTTCTTATCTCTGACAAATTGTTAAATGCGGTTGCTATCATCTTTTAATATTAGTTATACTTCCTCTGTAATGTCACAAGCTTTGCAATTTTATGGTGATGCAGTAAAAGTAAAGGAAGGACAAGACGATTCCTCAGGATTTCGCTGTTATTTTATTGATGACTGTGAATGAGTTAAATAAATCCTAATTATTTTCGATGAATGAAATAAACTGAACTTTGCAGATTTATGCGGTTCGACAAGCGTTAGCGAAGGCCATCGTTGCTTATTATCAGAAGTTCGTTGATGAACAAAGTAAAAAAGAGCTTAAAGAACAGCTCGTATCGTATGATCGCAATTTGTTGGTAGCAGATCCTCGACGACGGGAACCGAAAAAATTCGGTGGACCTGGTGCAAGAGCTCGATACCAGAAATCATACCGTTGAAAACGGATTTTGTTTCGTTAATATCGTTTTCTTTACAATGAATAAATTGTTGAATATTTGTAATCTGTCACATGAGTGTGTATATGACAAATGGCTTCTTTTTTAAGAGTTATATATTAGACCCTCTTTGGTTGTTCATCTGAGACATCGCCTAAGTTGAGCGATCACCGCAGAAAGTGAACATTAAGAAGTGTAAGATGTCCGCTGAAAAAATGTTAAGCTATGACAGAACTGACGATCGACATAAAAGGATGAGAAGGTGAGTCATTCTGATCTCATTAGCTATATTGAATCTCACAATCAGAGAGAAATCCGTCAGAGACTCAATAGGATGGAGAATTCCGCCATGGTACAAAAATGATTTTAAGAAAGTTCACAAGGTGTAATATGAGGAAATTCATTGAATGTAATTTACCAAAAAAACAAAAGTGATATAGGATTTGGATTGGAGGTTGGTTGTTTTCCTCAACTTTGAACTGAAATTTGAAACGTTCCTATGTAGGTTGCATCACTGTTGCAAGCGTAGCTCGCCTTTGTTCTAGGAAATAAATGAAGATTGTTAACGCATAAGTTCGTGACATTGATAAAGAAGATGTAATTAATAGCAACTGAAAAAAAAATGTAATTACTGTAAATTAGAATTCATTGATGGTATCAAGTTTTGTCTGAGTTGCAAAAGAAATAAATTTTTCTCGTGACCTACTTAGTTGCAGTTCTGTGCGAGATTAAATCGCATAATCGCAAATTACAGAAGAGATGAAGAGCAGCGTTATCAATAATGGAACATGTAACATTATTTAGCCCTAAAGCTAGATTTCTTTTAACTGTAGAATTAAGAAAAGGCCATGCGCAAATAGTTTTATTTCTGTTAAACTCTTTGACATACCCCTCCGAAGATTTGTCAAATGTAAAGTTTATATATGAGAATAAAGTGGAGTTGATGCAACTTAATATTTCATTTGTTTCACTTGGCTAAATCACTGAAATGAAAGATATGAATTCTTTCACAGTAATTCAAAGCGAGAACGAGCGACAGAGAGAGATGAAAAAAGAGCAAAATTAACTTAATGATGTTGTTGGATTTAGGAAGCATAAGAGCATGGAAATGATGAAACTTCTACCCGATGTTATTGTTATAATCAAAATTATCATTACGACTGCATCAAGCAAAAAACCATGGACACTATCTTTCAGAATAATTTGAGGGACACGGGCTAATTCCCCTCGACTGGTTGCATTCACTGATATTATTGGATTTCAGTTTATTAAGCAAATTCAATCTTTCCGCTGAATCAACAGCAAACATGTAAGGACTGTTGCAAGGCTGCATAGATGCAATAAGCTTATCAAAAATCATGATAGCTTACAAATCGATAAGATTGAATGTATAGCGACAATATTAATTAAACTGATTTCAAAAAAGGTATCAAAAATCATGACAGCTAACAGTCAAAAAAACGAAAGATTTAATAGCATGCTCACATGATTTATCCCAGACAGATTCGGGTCGGTAAGAAACGATTTCATTCTTTTCCAACCCGATTTTTGTACATCGTGACTTGAACATATTTGTTAATTCTTCATCATCCATTTCACCAAATAATACTATCTTCACTCTGCAAATATCACCAGTTCTTCCCAAGATCACAAAGTTTCTCAATTCTTCGCTATGCGAAAAATAAAGTAGAAAAATATCAATCACGGATTGATCGCTGTAATTGGGAAGCATAAAAGTTAGAATCACTATAAAACCTTCCACTCCACTCAAAATTAATAATTCGAAACTTTAAATCGATTTTGCCTGAAAGGAGAACTAACTGAAAACGTCCTCATTTCAAAAATGACTCATTTAGGAAGACTGCTATTTCATCGACTCGACTCTTACTGATCAAGTCTCAAACTTAACGCAGCAATTAAGAAATCCATTCCATCCCGTCGACGTCACACGCAAACACATAAGACCTGTGCGAAACTTTCCTTTCAGACTTTTCGTAAGTAATGAATTGAATTCGAAACTTGATTCTTAACTATCTATTCTTGATCGTAACATAAAAATTTCATTCGTCGCTTTTTTTCGCAAGGTCTGGCAGAATAAGCGGAATGATCTATATGGATAGGTGTTAAGTATCATATACTTTGGCCATTCCATATGTTAGTGAATATCTGCCTAAGCGATCGTTACATAGCCTAGTACCCTAAACTAAATATAAAAAGATCAATTTCAGGCTAGTACAATAAACTGGACACAACATAATCATGGGAAGCAATTACATGTGGATCGTTTCAGCAGGCAACGAAAGGTTCTGCAAAGTATTACTTAAGTAATCCATCTTATTTACACTTTTCATGGCATGAATCATTCCCACTAACTGTTGAAGAAATCACTGCTACTGAAATTGGGTGACATCAAACTATTGTTTGTTTTGAAAGTTTACTTTTAGTATATTATGGAAATTTATAACGCACACAGTGAAGCGAATGATCGAAGAGCAAAGTAAAGAAGAGGTTGTGTATCGATAATGGAAGCGGAAAAGTAAGAAGAGTAAGAAGCTTTTCAGCTTTTCGAAGGATGGAAGAAAATGTTTTGAGAAGAAAGGTTGGAGATCAGCTGGACAGTAATATTACTAACTGTATAAATTATAGTCTACAAATGCATTTTCCCTCACGGGAACCTGCTTCTGAAAGATCCAAAAAGGTATATGCAAATATGTTATTATGGTTCACTTTGATTCCGGTAAATTTCCTCTTAAAAATTTAATATATGGAATTTTCACGAAATATGCATGCCATGTTGTGAGAGAAATGCAGTATGAATAGGAAAGAAAGCAGACACATTGTGAAATGTTCCGTAATTTGACCACTCTGTATGGAGGGGAGACATGCAGCGGACGTGAACACATTCTATCACGTAGTAGAATTTACACATACATTATCGCTCTTTGTGTCCTTTTGATTGCGAAAATGGCATCATATTCCTTCCATAAGAAAGCTAAATTCTTCAAGAAAAAATTATAATTGAAACCCGAAGAGTCAAAATGATTGCTCTTTTGTGACTGTTTCATTAATGAAAATTTATAACAGATTTTATTTTTTAACAACTTAAGCAAATCCTTACAGATATTCATTCCTGTTATGTCTGACAGCAATATAAACCAAATAAATAATTCCTACCATCCAATGAACAGGATAAGTTCGATAAATCCATTCACA